CCAGCAGTTAGAGCCGCTTCTTCATCCTCGTGATAAAATATTCATGTCAGCAGAGCGGCTGCGGGGCCGCTGTGCGTGGCGGGCTTTTAGAGCAGGACGCTGTTCCTTCTCTCTAAGCATTTTCTGGGGCCCGAATCAATACGGTTTGAGCCGCCCCGCCCCCGCGCCCGGGAACGGTCTCCGGGAGGGCCACCCCCATCCCGCCGCCCCCACCCGCTCCGGGAGCCACCCTGGGCTCCAAAATAAAGACAGCCAAGGGTGGGGCAGTTTGGGGGCTGGGGGGATGGGGAGAGGGGGAGGGGGTGGATAGCGGGGGGGGGGGCAGGGGGCAGGAGGGGGCAGGAGGCACTGCAGGTAGGTACGGGGTGGAGCCCTGAGCGTCCCCCCAAGACCTACCTGAGTGAGGGGGGCAGCAGGAGGCCAACTTGCCCACCCTCCCCTCTCTAGTCCCCGTAGAAGCCCAGGCCCAGTGGGCAGGGAGAGACAGAAATGAGTCAGACACCTCGCTCCCTCAGGTGCTGCTTCCTGGGCGTCTCTGCCGAGCTGTGTGGGGTGGTGAGCTGCCTGTCGCTAGGGGCATGCAAGCCAGGAAAAGCCAGGCCTCGCCTGATGCACTGTGCCCCTGGTGTCATCCCCCCAGCCCCCACCCTACATCATGACACAGACTTGCAGGCTGGGGTGCGCTGAGGAAGGGGCTGCCCCAGAATCTCAGCCAGGGGCCCTGGGGTCAGGGTTCAGGCATTGACCCCCATGCTGAGCTGCCAGCGAGGGGAGCTGGAAGGGACTCGTGCTGCAGTGCTCGGAGCACCAGGGGCCTCATTGGTGTGGAGACATGTGCTCGGAGCACCAGGGGCCTCATTGGTGTGGAGACATGTGCAGCTGCCAGGGGCCCCAGCTGGAGAGACTGAGCTTCCCCCCCCTTCCTGTCTCAGTCCCTGCACGCGGCCCCCCTCTCTCCTCCCAAGCTGAGGGGGTGTGGGGAAGGGGCGGTGGCCCTGGCCCCTGGCCCCTGGCCTCGGCCTGCGGGTGCTGCAGGCTGCCTGGGCTGTTGTCGGGGCAGGCCTTGTCCGGGAGCTGCCCACCTTGGCCTGCTCAGGGTCTGGGGGTGCGGGGGGCTCAGGACCAGGAAGGGCACATCCTAGGAAAAGCCCCCAGGGGCCCTCCGCCCCCACCCGGGCGGGGGAAGGCGCCGGAGGAGAGGCCCGAGGCGGGGCAGCGGGTCAGTTTCCGCTGATTCACGCACAGCCGGTCACCTTGCGGGTGCCCAGGCTCGGGGGAGGAGAGGGCCCGATCAATGGGGGTGCAGGGTCAGGGACACAGAGCCCGAGCCGCCTCCCAACACGACCTGCCCTGCGCGGCCGCCTGTGAATTATTCATCCGGCTGCAACTTTCCTTACCGATGCGTAGGAAACAATTTGTTAGGGAGAATTCCCGGGGCGCCCCGCGTTGTTCCGTGGGGGGCAGGGCAGGCGGCGGCTGCGTCCCCAGCCCTTAGGGCCGGTGGCCTGGGGCCCAGCCCAGGAGGGCGTCACGTCCACAGCCTTCTGCCTTGACAGGGAACGGCACGAGGCGGGGCCAGGCCACGCCAAGCCACGAGGAGCCTGGGAGGTGGCGCTATCCAGAGTGGAGGGGGCACTAACCTGACTGTGCCGCCCCCCCCCCCCCCCGCCCCAGCCAGAGCCTGGCCACTATCCAAGCAGATCTCACCACAGCTGGTTCTGAAGAATCTGCCACGTCCCCTGGGCAGCCCCAGGCCTGCGGGGGAGCAGCGGGGCTGGCCCGACCCCTGGAGGGCAGTGACCTGAAGAGGTGGCACCCCCCCCCCCCGCCTGGCACCAGGGCCAGCCACGGTCCCATAGTCATGGCCTGTCCCCCCAACACGAATGGGGTCTCTCCCGTGCTTGGCAGTCAGTGCTCAGCTGGGTCCACTCTGTAAAGAACACACGGCCTGCCCCCCACTGCACATGCCCACAGCTGCCTGGAGGGTGTTCGGACCCGGGCTCAGGGCTGTTTCTCAAATGCTCAGCCCACAGGGCTGTGACCCCAAGCACCAGGGAAGGGAGGGCCAGGCTCTGTGTGTGGTGTCCGGAGCCCGGGGGTCCTCTGACCTCTGTCTCACTTCTCTGCCCCCAGCCGAGCTACTGCAGTTCGGGGACGCTGTCCACGCTCCGTCCCCCGAGATGGGGCAAGGGAGGGATGCTCAGAGAAACGCCGTCTGTCTCAGCTCACGGGGACCCGCTCACACCCCCCGCAGGCTGCGTGGGGGGGAGCTTGGGGAAACCCCAAACTCCAGTTTACTGGAGATTGTGGCACGTTCACATTTTTCTGGACAAAGTCCCCGGCCTTGGTGCCGGGATTTTATACACATTGGGCAAAGCGTTTGCCTTGCACGCGGCTGACATGGCCGACCCAGGTTCGATTTCTCCGCCCCTTTCGGAGAGACTGGCAAGCTACTGAGACAATCTCGCCTGCACGGAAAAGCCTGGCAAGCTCCCTGTGACGTATTTGATATGCCAAACACAGTTAACAAGTCTCACAACGTTACTGGGCCCGCTCGAGCAAATCGACGAACAACGGGAGGACAGTGACAGTGATATTTAAAAAAAATTCTTCTGGTAGGGTCAGAGGTCAGCTTTGGCATCTCTGCGAGGGCAAAGGTCTGACGAGGACTGGGGAGCCGCAGCCCTGGCCTGAGGCCCCGTTACCTGGGCTGAGTCTTGTGCCAGGGGAATCTGGCCTTGGGGGTCACCGCCACTGCTCCCCGGGCACCGCCACGGGGGGCTCCAGGCGGCCAAGCTCGAACCCCAGCCGGTCCCTCAGAGCCTTCTGGTGAAGAGCAGGAGAACGTGGGGTGCAAAGGGGTTCCTGTGCCTGCCGCCACTCTCCGTAGCCCTAAACAGTTAAGTGAAGCGCTGGGGGCCTGGAGGGGCAGAAAACCCTGTTGGCTGCCGTTGGGGGTTTATTTATTGTGCTCGCTGCTGCTGAGGCCGGGTGGTAAATACACAGGCTGATTCATTAGTTCCCGACCATCTGCTTCCCGCCTGCCGGGTGGGGGTGGGGAGCGGGGTCTGGCCTCCACGGCCACCCTGGGGGCCCGGCCTCACCCCATTCCCACCTCCCCCACCCCGACAGGTGAGGGGCGGGAGGGCAGAGGAGCCAGGGGGCCGGGAAGGCGAGATGCGATGGGGTGGGGGGAGCCGAGGAGGGAATAGCAACCCCAGAGGCGCCACATTAAATTAATTCTGTTACTGACTAATTAACACGATGGCAGCGATCACTGTGATTTCATGAGTGGTGGCCGGGGGCCCAGGCCCAGCAGGGAGGCTTCAGTGCAGACAAGCCCAAGAGACCCCAGGACACAGGATGAGGTACCCGGAGACTGAGTCAGGCCAGGAGGGCTTCCTGGAGGAGGTGTGTGGGGGCGAGCTCTGGGAAGAGGGACCTGCTGCGGGGGTTGGGGGGGACAGCTCAGGATGGGTGGGGGACATGCTGCGGTGGGCGTGTGCCAGGGGGCTTCCGAAAGCGCTCCTGTGGGGGCTGCCCTGCCCGTCTCCGAGCTGCCTCCCCACCCCCGCCTTGTGCGCCTGTGCTGGCACGGAGGAGGGCTGCTGAGGCAGCAGAGGTTGATCTTCTCGGGCTCTGGAGAAGCTCCCGATCAAGGTTGGTTTGACCCCAGAGCCCGTGACAGGGGGTGGCACAGCCCCTCCTGTGGCCTCCGGGGGGGGGGGGCTTGCTAACGTGAGCATCCTCCGGCCACAGCAGACATGGGTGTGGAGACCCACCCACCCCGCCCACGCACGGACACCCCACACGCCTCCGCCCTGGCACCCCAGCCCCAAGGAGTCCTGTTCGCCCAAGCACGCGGGCTTCGCGGGGACACGGCTTGCCTGGACGTGGGGGGCAGGGGGAGGGCGCAGGTGCTGCTGCCCCCAGCCTCTGTGTCCAGTGTGAGCTGGGACGTCTGACCACCTCGTGGCCCCCCGACGGCAACTGCCTCTGGGCCCAGGGGCCCCGTCCTGCCCCTGGATGGGGCAGTGTCCCCGGGTGGCCCCTGCCGGACACTGAGCTGGAAGCCACATCCTGGGACACCTGTCCCCTCTGGGCAACATCACAGGGGCCTCTTACTGTGCCCCCAGGCCCGGCCCAGGCGTGTGACCCAGGAACAGAAACCCACCCTCTCTCCCAGGACAGGTCAGTCCCACCTACCCTGAGCCTCGGTTTCCCCGTTTGCTCCATGCAGGAGCCCCTGAGTCAGAGCCCCACTCCTTGCACCCGAGACCCGCAGGCTGGGCCTGGCGGGGAGCGGCCGCAGGTGGGGGGGAGAGGGAGTAGGGACGGAGCTATTCTGGTCAAGGACGCACTGTGACAGGCGGCAGCTGAGTCCAGGGCCCTGCGGACTTGTCTCCTCTGCTGAGGGGCTTCAAAGGTGCAGGCTGGGCCCCCGGGCCGGCGGCGGGGGCGGGGCGGCCCCCTGGAGGCCGCACCTGGGCCGGAGGGGGCCCAGCGGCTCGTTTGAGAAAAGCTTTAACGCGGGCGCAGCCATTTGTCTCCGGGCCAAGCGGGCCCTGAAATATTCATCAAAGGGCTGGAGAGGCCGGGGGCTCGCGGGCGGCGTTTTTAATCAGCTTTATTTCTCAGAGCATCTGGGGGCTGAAGGCAGTGTCAGACGGCGCGGACGCCCCTGCTGTGCTGCCTCCCGGCGGCCCTCAGCACCCCAGGTCCGCCGGGCGCATGGTGCAGGACCCACGGCAGTGTTGGGGTGCGCTCCTGAGGGGGCTGTGCCCTTTCTGGGACGCTCTGACCCTGCCCCCCCAGCACCCCGGGACTTGTCCCTCCAGCCTGGAGGGCCACGATGGCAGGAACCCTCTGGGGGGACCCCGGTGACCGACAGCCTCGAGGGAGGTGGGCGCTGTGCCCGCTCTGCTCATCCCCTCCCCCCTGCACCGGGCCCACCCGAGGCCAGAGCCCGTCGCCCTCACCTCTGCTCTCCCGCCCGGCAGGAGAACCCCTACCTCTGCAGCAACGAGTGCGACGCGTCCAACCCGGACCTGGCGCACCCGCCGCGGCTCATGTTCGACAGGGAGGACGAGGGACTGGCCACCTACTGGCAGAGCGTGCCCTGGAGCCGCTACCCCAGCCCGCTGGAGGCCAACATCACCCTGTCGTGGAACAAGAGCGTGGAGCTGACCGACGACGTGGTGGTGACCTTCGAGTACGGCCGGCCCACGGCCATGGTCCTGGAGAAGTCGCTGGACAACGGGCGCACGTGGCAGCCCTACCAGTTCTACGCCGAGGACTGCATGGAGGCGTTCGGGATGCCCGCGCGGCGCGCGCGGGAGCTGGCGGCGTCGGGCGCGCACCGCGTGGTGTGCACCGAGGAGTACTCGCGCTGGGCCGGCTCCAAGAAGGAGAAGCACGTGCGCTTCGAGGTGCGCGACCGCTTCGCCATCTTCGCGGGCCCTGGCCTGCGCCACATGGACAACCTGTACGCGCGCCTGGAGAGCGCCAAGGGCCTCAAGGACTTCTTCACGCTCACCGACCTGCGCATGCGCCTGCTGCGGCCTGCGCTCGGGGGCACCTACGTGCAGCGCGAGAACCTCTACAAGTACTTCTACGCCATCTCCAACATCGAGGTCGTGGGCAGGTGAGCGCGCGGGGGTGCGGCGGGACCCGGGGACGCGGCCGGCCAGGGACGGTGCCTGGAGCGGTGCCTGGTTCCTGGGTTTGATTCCTGGCACGGTGCCTGGCTCCCGCGACCCTGCCTGGGGTGGTTCCTGGTACCTGGGACGGTACCTGATTCCTGGGTTGGTTCCAGGGATGGTGCCTTGCGTGGTTCCTGGTACCTGGGACAGTTCCTGATTCCCGGGATGCTGCCTGGGACGGTTCCTGGTACCTGGGGCAGTTCCTGGTTCCTGGGTTGGTTCCCGGGACTGTGCTTAGGGTGGTTCCTGATTCCTGGGACAGTGACTGGGATGGTGCCTGGTGCCCAGGATGGTGCCTGGGGCGGTGCCTGGTTCCTAGGATCCTGCCTGGGGCGGTTCCTGGTACCTGGGGCAGTTCCTGGTTCCTGGGTTGGTTCCAGGGATGGTGCCTGGGGTGATTCCTGGTACCTGGGACAGCTCCTGTTTCCTGGGATGCTGCCTGGGACGGTTCTTGGTTCCCAGGATGGATCCTGGGACATTATCTGGCACTCGGCTATCACCTGGCTCCTGGGATGGTCCCTGGTTCCCACAGCTTTGTCTGTCTCCAGGAATGTCCCCTGTTTCCTGGAATGTTGCTGGTCCCATCAGAGCCGGGACCCCTGGAGTCCAGGTGAAGGGAGGCGAAGGGCAGCTGACCCTGAGGTCCAGCTGGCTACAGGGTCCAAGGCCTGTATGATTCCATTATGTGTGAACCGCTGGGGGCGCCCAGGGACTCTCACACGGAACGGGAGCCCACCCAGCCGCTGAATCTGCCACTGCTGAAGCCCTGGGTGCTCGCGGTCGCCCTCTGCTGGCGGCCGTAGAGATAAACGCGTTCCCAGGAGGCTTCCCGGAGCCAAGCCCGGAACGGCTAGGTATGATCCCCTCTAATTCCCAGGGGCATCTAGACTGGGTGCCTGGACGCTGCCCAGTACCCAGGTTGCTTGTGCAGCAGGTGAGCCGCACCACAGCCTGGTCTGCGCCGGGGAGAGATGTGGCGCCCGCCGTGGGCCACTCCTGGGCCAGCTGCAGTGAGGTGCAGCACCGGGCTGGGCTCTCTGGACCAACTGCTCGGTGGACACGGGGTAGGGAGCAGGAAACACCAGTGCTCCGGGGCTTATCAACTACCTGGGAGCATCTGATGCTCCCCCAGGGTGAGGACCGCAGAGCCACCAGGTCAGGGCTGGATTCTGCTGGGCCGTGCACAGCTGCGCCTCAGTTTACCTGTCCACGCAGTGGGGGCGAGTATGGTGCCGCGTGGAATGAGTTCAAGGTGCTGACGTGTGCCCACGTGCCTGGCAGCCAGCGCCGAAAGGTCGTTGGATAACACAAGAGACCAGAGCCAGAGCACACGGCCCACCTGACTGTGATCCCCGGCACCCCATAGAGTCCCCCGAGCACTGACAGAGGTAATTCCTGAGTGCAGAGCCAGGGGTAACCCAGGGCATCGCTGCCCACTCCCACCCAAAAAAGTGTCCAAAGTCTGGGAGGCTGAGAGCCGGGAGGCTGGAGGCCACTGGACACGCTCAGGACTCAGGCAGTGCAGACGGAGGCCGCAGGGGGGCCGGGGGGAGGCGGAGGGGGGGCTTCCCTGGGGGCCTCTCTAAGGTTCAGGGACGGGACGTAGAGCTATTCTGGGTTTGTGAAATAATCTCGGTGTGGGTATGTGGCTGGCGTTGGAGAGAGGGGACGGGAGGCAGTTGGGCCGAGGCGCCCGCTGAGCACCCATCACCTGCTTCTGTTGATTTCACTTCCTTCTTAGTTAGTTTCACTCGCGCAGCAGGGGGGGGTCACCCCTGCAGGTGCTGGAGCAGGTGCGCAGGTGCGTGCCTGGCACTCTCCACCTGTGCTTCCCTTCTGCGGGGCGGGGATGGAAGCGGCCTTGCTCTGAGAGAGGCTGGGGTCACGGGCAGCTCCTGACCCAGGCCAGGCTTTGGGGGTCCGCGCCGCCCCTCCCTGCACCCTGCCACCTCGGCTACTCTGGGGTGAGTGGGGAGCCCCCACATCGTCTCTAGTCTGGACCTCGATTTGGACCTGCCTCAGACTGCGGCCTGGTCCCCACCACCTGGGGTCTGGTCCAGTCAGACATGATGGGGGGCTGGGGACCCTCAGGGGCGGGTGGTCGCCTACAGGGCCTGGGGGCTGTCAGAGGCGTGATTCTGCACAGCAGAGCTGGAGCTCGGGGCAGGAGATGAGGGAGCCAAAGACGCCGCCCAGCCACTTCCTGACCAGAGGGAGGTGCGGCCCCTGCGCGCCCTGAAACCTGGGTCCAGCCCCCCCCCACACTCCTCACTGGGCCTCAGTTTCTGTAACGTGGGGGCGGGCTCCCAGGTAGCCCATTGGCGGCGGCTGATATCAGCACCGGTGCACAGATGGGCTCGTCCCGCGGCTGCTTGGCCCAGAGGTGACAGACCCGTGCGCCTTCTCCAAGGCCCTGTGTCAGGCACCAGGTGGGAGAGCCCGGCCCTGCCAGGGAGCCCCAGGGGCCAGCCGAGGCCCAGCTCTTCCCTGCCAGACCCTGCACTTGGCTCTCGGGTTCCGGGACTTCCCACTGGAGCCGGGATGCATTCCCACGGAATGTCGTGACCCAGAGTGGCTCCCGTTCGCAGCCTGCCAAGAGCCACTGAGCCTCAGCCAGCACCGAGAGAACTTCAGGTGCGGTTTCTTGAGGGGTCGCAGCCCCCACGTTCCCAGCAGTGCCGAAAGCCCTCAGACACCACCTTGAGCAAGCTGGACCTGATTCCTGTTCCCCGGGGCACCCTCCTCTCTGCGTCATGGTTATTTTGCTTGTTTGTTTGTTGAGGGTCACACCTGGTTGCGCTCAGGGCTTTGTGCTCCCGGCTTTGTGCTCACTGATCATTCCTGGCAGTGCTCGCGGGTGGTGAGGGTGGAACCAGGGGCGGCCACGCGACAGGCAAGCGTGTCACATTAGTGCTGTCCCTCCTGCCTCATCTTCCTGGTATTTTGAGATGAGGCTGAGCACTGAGCAGAGAGAATCAGGCGGCAAAGCTGACCCCTCTGCCCAGTGGACTCCCACCATCTCACTGATGCCAGCCAGGCAGGGTGACGGGGCAGAGGGGCCAGCAGCTGAGAAGCAACGGCTCAGCTCGGGAAGGAGGAAACTCCTAGGGTCCGAGCCCCCTCCCCGCAGTCCTGGACAGGTGGGGGCCTGGTTCCTCCTACCCAGACACCGGGGACCTGGGTAGTAGGGCAGCTGCAGCCGGTCGTGAGGCCAGGGACGGTCTGCACCAGGGGGACAAGATCGTCCCTCGGCACTGGCACTGCTTGGAGCAGAGACGGCCCCTCCTGTAGCCGCAGCCCAGGCAGAGCCACGAGGCCACAACCCCACGGGCAGCAGCAGGCTCTGGTCTGCTCTGCCAAAGCTTGGGGTGGGGCCCGGAAGCCCCTCGAGCAAGTGGGCGGACAGGGGCCTCCAGTGAAATCCGGGCCAGCCGGGGTTAGGGTCTGGCCTGTGGCTGCTTTAAGGGGGCCCTGTATGGAGACCCTTGGTGGGCCTCAGTTTACCAACTGCAGAGAGGAGCTGTGGGGTCTGCCCAGGCTCTGCTCCATGGGCTTGAGGTGATGTGGGTCCAGCTGCTGGCCAGGAAGCCGTGTCCACACCCAGGAAGGGGGGTGCCTCAGGGGGGGTGGGGAGTTGCCAGCACCCCAAGGAGCCACAAAAACTACATCCCTAGTGAGGCAGGCTGGAGGGGCGATAGGGCAGGGTGTGGCCTGCAGAAAGTTGAAGGGTCACCGGCTCCTTGCAGTGAGGCGGGGGTGCACGGCAGGCATCAGGCAGTCTCGGGCGGCTGATGTTGGTGCCATCCCCAAGTTCCTGAGAGGCCAGACAGAGCAGGAGCCCCAGAGGCGGGGCCGTAGGTGAGCAGAAACCCCTGGCCACTGCAGAGGGCGTCACAGGGGCGTCTGGCTCCTGCCCCAGGGCAGGTTTTGCTCGCAAGAGGCCGGACGCAATCCCTAGGACTGCGTAGTGCCCGAGCACTGCCAGGCTCGGCCCAGAAACAAATACATGAATGAAATCAAAGCTTTGGTGGGTGTCAATGCCAGGCGGTGCCCTGGTGCCCTTCTCTTTTTTCGTTCCTTTTTGTTTGTTTGGGGGCCACACCCGGCAGTGCTCAGGGCTTCCTCCGGGCTCTGTGCTCTGGGATCACTCCTGGTGGGGCTCGGGAGACAGTATGGGGTTCCGGGGACCGAACACAGGTCAGCTGCGTGCAAGGCCAGGCCTTCCCGACCGTGCTCCCGCTGCTGCCCAGGATGAGGCGAGGTCCCGGGCGGGAGAGACTCACCCACAGAGAGGAGCTGGGCCACATGGGCAGCCTGACTGGGAGAGCCACGCCCGCCACCTCCCAGGGTCCCCGCTGGGCCCATCGTCCTGGGATCCTGGACTTCCTCCCTCTCAGGCTCTCCCCCCACCCCACTCCTTGGCTTCTTGTTGTGCTCCGCAAATGCTCTGTGACCATCAATCCCATAACCGGAGAGGGACTGAGCCCAGGACAAGAATAGAAAGTGCAGTGGGAAGGGTGGTGTTCACTCTGTGGTCCCAGGGGAGAGGGCAGACCAGCCTCCCCGGGATATGCCCGACCCTCCTTATGGCACCTGCAGGGAAGCAAGTGCCAGGAGTCCCCCCCCCCGACCCGTGTGTGGCCGGGAGGACCAGGTCCCCCCAGGGTCATCACAGACTCTGGAAACTTGATGTCCTGCCCAGGATGGTCACTCTTGGGGGGCAGATGGGGAAACTGAGGTTTGGGCTAGAAAGAAGGGTGGATCATCAAAGAGGCAGAGGGGAACAAGAACGTCAGGATGGGGAGCTGGGGCCCCCCAGCCCTCGCTCCAGACAGACCCCCAGGGATTGAGAGTGGGGTCTTGGGGGCGCGGTGCTCACAGCAGCCCCTGTGGGTGAGTGACTGCACACCCGACCCAGTTTTCAGCATGCAAAGGGCGCGCC